AACCTGCAAAGGTTGAATCAATTCAGGCTCCGGCTTTTTGAACGTCTGTCCCTAGCCTAGTAGAAGCAATTTCAGCATTGTATAATGGGAGCACTGCCTACAGGATGAGGATGCAGTTATAGCCTTGTAACTACATCAAAGAACTGCATATTGGTCAGAGGCAGAGATATTACTATATATGGTTATGAAATAGAAACGTAAGCTTGGTTGCTTTTACAATTCTGCTTTATGAGGGTTGAAGGGACCTCCAGCATAGAGCTCTGGACCTAGGGAATTACTAGCAGGAGTAATTCAATTCTATATATCAAATCGTGTATAGAAATAGATTTTATATACATCACAATATTGCTATGGGAAACTTAGGTAAAACAGCTCCATAAAGACTAGACAAAGGATTTTACACAGAGCACAGAGAGTTTTTGGATTTCTTGGTGGGATCTGATACTAATTTGTAGTATTGGAAGGACCCAGAATACTGAGCTTTAAATGTTTATGTTCCTTATAGAAATACTTTAATATAAACATTCTAAATAATTGGACTGGTGTTTCTGCTCTATATTGTTTCCTATAATGTTCTCAACAATGAACATTTTCATGAATGACTATTGGTTTTGGGTGTCTTAAGTTTTGAATTTCCATGGATACTACACAAGGACTTTGTTAGGAAAAAACCTGGTCCAAATGTATGTGACTGCAAATGTATAGATCAGAACAGATATGTCAGAAATTAGGACTTGATTATAATACCTGTCATCTCTTTATGGGGTTCTAAATTTGATCAACCTACTGGAAAGAATGCTTCATTTCATACTGACACCAAAAAGGTGATAGTTAAACTGAAAGGAATGATTTTTACCACTATCTGCACCATATTGTGGGGCCCCAGGAGGCCCACAACACCTCTGAATCTTCATACTTCTTTTCTTGACATTTCTGAATCAAACCACTGTGAAAGATTCAAATTATAACACCACCTCCATTAGCTTTGAGTAAAATTTGAATGCCAGCTGGAGTATGAAAATTAATTTCTGTTGCCATTGGCTCTTCCATATATCTTTTTACCTCCCCATCTTATTGCATTGTTTCCCTCTCACCATCCACTCCTTTTTTTAAAAAAGAAATCTGTTTAAGTAGCTTCAGTAGTTAAGATTTCATCTTGTAATACTAATATGAACCTGTGTCCATAAAGGTGACTGCGAGTGTGCACAAAAATTAAATTTCATCCAGTAGAATCACAGTTCCTCTGGTTGAAATGCACCATGTTAGAATGGTTAAAGCACTTCTGCCAATTTAAAAAATGACTGACGCAGTGGAAATCTCCACCAAGTCAGATGGGGTTGAAGTCTCAACTAATTGGGGTGCAAAAATTTAAATTAATGCTTACAAACATTTCCAATTGATTGGAGCCACAGGGATGCTCTCTGACATCCCATTGCATCTTGCTCCCTCCATTCCCTTCCTCTAGGCTGATGCTATTGTGACTCAGGTGGCACTTTACTGTTGCAGTTTGACTCATAGGAAATCCATCCCCTGAGAGCTGAGAAGTTAGGAAAGTCAA